GCCCAGGGGAAATTTTGTCTGAACACTCACTAAACCGTGCTGACGAGAACCACAATACACACAGTACACACGTGGATTTGCAGAAACAGCTGTTCCTGGGTCAGTCACAGTTACTGCTTTTCAGTTTCATGGGAGGGGAGAGAAGGAGTGGCACAATGAAAAAGGAACAAGAAGGTTCTACTTCAGCCTGTTTGAAAGTGCTGTTATCTGAGAACACAGAGATGAAGAGCTGCTTAACATGAGGCAAACACGGTATCTCCCTCCTTCTTTTTATTTTAAAATTTTCTAAGTTGATCATAACCAAGATCAGACTGTTCTGCTGACCAGTGCAGCCCTCTGCTCTTTATGCTCTCAATCTTAAATGTTGCTCCTTCCAACATGAAGGAGGAACCAACACTACCATGAAACCTGCTTACACAGCAAGGAGGGACCAAGAAAAGAGTATGGCATTAATGAGAGCTTCCCTGACACAAAGTGCCTCAGAACAAGGCTCGAGCAGAGCACCAGGGAGCATATGTCACCACAGCATTTTTTATTTATGAAAATAAATTCTTAGCCATTTGCCTTTGGAGGCGTCTTTCTCACCAAGCAGTGTTAAAAAAAAGTATGTTAAAAAAAGACATTAGATTTCTAAATAAGTGGGCTAAAGGAAAAAAAAAGGAAGCTTTAGAAACTCATTTTCAATGGCTAATAATGAGTGAAAAGAAACAGGAAACAGGTGTAGCAAGGGATATTTACTATAATTCAGGGGTCCCCAAGCTTAATTTTCTCTATTTTTGATGGGTAGCAGCAACAACTATTCTAACAGGCATGACTAGCCAACTGCTAATGCTGAGCCAAGCACTACTTTGAAATGGCAGAAAATACACTCCCCACAACATGAGAATCCCTGCTTTAAAACAGAAATTCTGAACTTTCTTGGAACAGTAAAGGTCAGTCTGGACGGGGCTCTAAGCACCTTTCCCTAGTTGAAGATGCCACTGCTCATGGCAGGGGGGTTGGACTAGATGACCTTTAAACACAATAACAAGAAATTATGGATGGGTTTTCTACATTACCGACACAACAATTTTATATACAACATGACATGTATGCAGATGCTTTTCTCGTAGTGGAGTATATGGCTAGCAAGACACAAAATATTTTATACTTCCTCTTTTGCAAGCACAGACAAAAATTTAAAACACTTTAAAAGCATTTTTCTTGGAAAATCTGAGTTTTAATTAATGCATTTAGAAAATACCTCTGTTCTGCAGAAAATTTCTTTTATTTAAACATTTGCAATTTACAACCTGAACAACTTTCCAAACTCAAAATTCTACTGACATGCCTATGCTTTCTTTAAACAACAGCGCTATAGTTTCTGTACTACAGCAAGCAACTCCAGACAGAGCATTGCAAAGATTTAGTAATTAACAAAGGTGATGGAGCAATGAAATATTATGAGCTTTACCTGGAGAGGAAGGAGCGCTGGAAGACTGCTGGTCTGCGGAAAAGGATGGCCAGGAGCGCTGACAATCTGAGTCAGAGTAAAGATGCACATAAAATAAAGAGAGATGGGGAGGTGTGGGGAAGGCAGGGAGGAAGCTCCAGACAGGCAGCTGAGGAGATGTAGACATCCCTAAAATATAGTCTGTTGTACCTGACATCTTTAACAACAAAATAAAAAATACTGTGGAAAAGAGTTTGTATGAAACTCTTCTAGTGTGCATTACATGTTAGCAGAATATTAAATCACCACTAGGGGAGGCATCATTGTCTCTTCAAACCCATTCTTCATGACAGTGTCACCTGCTGCAGGATATTCCTCCCTACATGCCAGTCCCATTTCGAGGAAAGTAATCTATGTTTGCCCCTTCCTTCCTGACTTTAGGGTTTCCTCAAGTGTTTCCCTTTCCCAAGTGTACAACCTCATAGGGGTTGGCCCCTTCTTGCTCTGGTTCATACCGCTCATGGTGTAGCTAGCACTGCCACCCATGCCTGAAGCTGCCTGACACATCCCATATGAAGCATTTGAAGCTGCCCACTTAAACCACTGAAGCCAAGTGCCTGCCTCAGCTGAATTTCTTGGGGAAAAGTTTCAATGAAGCAAGAGGAGCCTATGATGAGAAAGAGACTTGGCAAAACATAACTTTTATGCTACGTTTAGATGTTTTGAATAGTGTTATCCTTTCAATAACTATTTCATTAAGAAATGCCTGTGGAGTCACACACTGGGACAGAGTGGTATTTTTCAGAAGCATTACCTTACTTTTACTCAGAGAAAAAACTCTTAATATACACATGTACTGGAGTTAAAAAAATCTGAAAAAAGCCTCATTTTGCAAGTGTTCTGTCAGTGCGAGGCACACCCCAGCCACAGCTCTTGGGTCTTTGCTGAACTGATTGTGCCAGGAGAAAAGAGGAGGGGAGAAAAGGAGGTGGAAATCTGTGGCTGCACAAGGACTCTGGCAGGGAAGCCAGACCGGGGCTCCAGGAGTGTGAAGACTTGTATATAAGCAGACAGCCCAAAAACAGAACCAAAATTTACTGAATATGAGAAAGCAGTACATGGATATGTGACTAGGGGCTTTCTGAGGACCAAATTAAAGCTAAACGAGCATCCTTTATTCTTGTACTTCCTAATTTCTTGTTTCTGAGCTTTTAACTTAGCAGCTTCAGTTTTCTGTGTACGTAATCTTTATCCACAGTAAATACAAATACACTCTCTCCTCTATTTCTTTGAGTCACTGAGAACAGTGTTAGGTAACCTCTCAGGTCCACCGAGCTCACACTGCCTGGCTGGGTAATAGAAACTGAACCTACGATGGCTGGCAAAGCTCCTCTGATATTTCCCCAAGATGAAGGAATTTCTTGTTCATGTAAAACAGGGGACTTTGCGGCTCTTGCTGCTCTCCTGAGCTTGTCCCACCATGCTCACCCCCCAACACAGATGCACTGCTTGGAACACAGGAGAAAAGTGGAACCCAGAAAATGGGCAAATCGAGCACTGGTCAGGGGGAGTCAAGGAGATTCAGTTTGTTTTCTGCTATTTTACCACATTAGTTCACCTGTGTTCCACTTGGGTTCAGAGGAGAAACTGAACCTTGTATTTTCAGGCAATTTAATCCAAGCCTGAGCATCCTTGCACTCGACCACTGAAAAGAAACCTCTATTGTCTTTAATGGAGGCAGAGCAGACAACTTACAGGTGGCTCACAGCACTCTCACTAAATCACAGAGGTTTTTTGCCCAGACCTAGCTCTAATCCTATAGTCTTTGGGGAACACTCAATTGTTAAGAAAGTGCCTAAGCAAGCACATTAGAAACATCACAGGACTACATGGCTGCTTAAGTGATCACAGAATCCAGACAAACACTAAAATCAATTATTTAATTTATGGGCCCCCATCTGTTCACAAATATCTACAGAACATTTTTACAGGAACAGATGCATGCAATTTAGAATGCACAATATTGGAAGTCAAAACTGGAAATTTTTATTCCATCCCAACCTATTTGTATAGAAATTAGTTCTCAGCTATATGCTCAGATAACTTAACTACTGGATGAATTGTACCTTATTTATGCATAGATTATCTTTTCCTAGTGGTTATATATACATGAACAGTTTTTCTGAATTATAAAAAACCAGAAATCATCTACTTATTTGAATGAGTGTTCACTTTTCTCTTTGTAATGAATCTGTGGGTGCAATTGTAATTACAAGTGTGAGAATGTACTTTTTTTTTTTCTGTCTAGATCTCCTTGGCTGCAAAAGATTTCTTAGAAACTGTATGGCACTAGACACACATGAAAACCACCGCAAACATTACATTGTCATAAGCTGGCATGCCATAGATAGAATTATTTTCCTCAACTTACCAAGCAATTTTAACATTCCTGTTTGTCCTGTATACTTGTAACAGTTTAGAGAGAGCAGAACACAGATAAAAAAAGAAAAAAAGATAAGTGTCAGAAGAAATTAGATAAAATCCTTTTATTGAAAGCTATAGAGGTGATTTTTGAAGTGGCAGTAGTAGGCTGCCTGCAAATCATATTGTCCTTTAATCAACTTAGAAACTTAGTGAGAAAAGGTGGGACTTCACAAATCTAAGCATTCATACCATTCACTCATTGGATTGTTCTGAAGAAAGGTATCTGTACTCAAAGCCTGAGACACAGACTGAACTTGGTACTTGTCCACCTTTTAACAGCTATGTCATTTCTACCACCAGATGTAATTCGCAATCGTTCCTTAACAGAGGCCAAGAAAGAGGGGAAAAGCATGGATGTCACAGAACAAGACAAGACAGAAGCATAGCAAAAAAGTCCATGGAAGGTGAGACTTTCTGCTTGAATTAAAATATGTCTGGTGCCAGCCCACACTGCTACCTTATTTTAAAGGTTGTTAAATTTAATCAGGTTAGCCAAATTTTTGAGGAGAAAAAACATAAGTACTTAAGGTATCTATAATCAATAAAACACACTTTAAAATTAAACCTCATTCTTGCTGCCAAAATTTGAGCAATACACATTAAAAACTTCTAGTAAAAGTACATTTGTAAAAAAGCTACATTGTAAATTCAGAATTATTTTGGAAGTTTGTTACGGCTAAAGCAACTATAACTAAGCTATTAATTCTAAGGCGACTATCGAAGGCCTTTATGCTTTTTCCTCATACTGTACCATTTTGTACAGTGACAGTTAATACAGACAGATCCACATTTATCTTAAGTACTTCTGCTTTCAAAATTTGATTCACAGCCTACTCCACCGAGCAGATGGTAGGAGCACATGATGGTTTCATGTAGCAGACTATGGTCAGTGCAGCCAAGACCTGTCAATCCTTTTTGGTTGAGGTACAAGCACAATAGTAACACATCATGGGTAAATTTCACATGGAAAAGCTAACAGCTAATCCCTGTAGTTTCAATCAGTGGCAGAATTGGGGAATGTATGCACCAGCCTCAGAGACAGTAGCTCTTCTGGCAGGCAGAAATGACAAGTTTGTCTGCAGTGGAGCATGGTCATTAAAGGAATCTCATCCAGACAAGCCAGCAACCAGCGTCAGAAAGCAAAGTATTATTGCTTTAGAATGAGAAGAGCTTGTTCTGTCCTCACCCTCTCTCCTACAGATATTAAAGAGGATCTGTGTGTAAAACAGTAATAGAAGCTGTTACAGTTACTGGCATTTTATAATGGAATTTCTTACCAGAATTTTCATATGCTTCAAAACTGAAATCAGGTTTCCTGTCCTCTGTCACGTGGTCATAAGTAATGTGTGGAATAGTTAACATCCTATCTGGAGAAGAAGGCCCATTGTCCTTGTCTAACTTAAATTTCTTCTTTTTAACCTAAAAATACACATACATTAAATTACTCAAAGCAAGCCACATTTACTTTTCTCTTCAGTAATGTCTTCAATAATAATGTAGTCCCCAATGAACTATAATTACTCAAAAGAGTGCCTGACCAATTAAGTTTACATGATGCTACACTGTGCATTTCTCTGTAAGATTGCCCCCAACCTGCCAAAACTGGCTAATCACTAGAATTCTGCACACTGTCATTAGCAAATCCCTTGCTTGCAGTAAAAAAAAATCTGCTAGCTCTGCTGAAGTTTATATAAATCAGACTATTCTAGAATATCTTTCCTGTTTTATGGATGCAATAAATCATACCTTCCGCTAAAAGCAAATGGATCTATTGCTACTGATCTCAGATGAACCTGGGATACTAGGGAAGATTTTTGCACAACATCCTCTCCCAGCTTGAGACTACTGTACTCTCTTAGAATAGAGAGGATGAAGCACTACATAATTGGAAGATTCTGACAAAGGGGGTTTTTTGCTGTTTTTCAAACAAAAAATCTTAACTTATGGAAACAGTTGATATAAAAATACTATCGTATGCAGGCACAAGACATCTTCACCATAAAATCTTAGAAAGCCACAAAATCAATAGCTGAGAGAAGCAGCAATTTTGGGGAGTTTTTGTTTTGTTTTAAAAAAACAATTAAAAGTTACTGGTTTGGAAATAGTAATTTTCTTTTTTTCCTTTGCTTATAGTTTTCCAAACAATCGGTAACAGTAAGTTACCGGCTGATGTGCCTGAGTTAGGTCATTATTGTTCTTTTCCAAACGCAGAGTTCCATTAAAAAAGTCAAGTTTGGGAACTGAAGCAAATTAAGTTATAGTTTAAAACATTTGTATACTGCAAATACCAAAACTGAAATGAAAATAAAACTTTAAACCCAAGTAATAATCTGCAAAGCAAGCGCAACAAATAGCCTCTAGAGAGTTAACAAATTCAATCTAATTTTAAAATGCTATAACAGGAAAAGTGAGTTACTGGTACCATCACTGATTTCTTCGGTTTTGGACTGGGTGACAGCAAATGATAATTTCTGGAAGGTTTCCGAATGTATATTTTCCATGTAGAAGAGTCTGGGTTTTCTGCTGCATAGCATCGCCAAGCAGTCTAGAACAAATGTTTTAAGCAACATAACAATTAATGCAATTGGACTTGTAGCTGTCTGTACTACAAAGTAACTTCCAAGTAGCATGTTAGTCATTCTTTATTTAATAGTATTCTTGAATTTCCCTACTGGTAACATAAACTCGACATGGTTTAGAATCCTTATTTAGTAAATAGAGACCACATAGTTTGAACTGGGCAAACCAGAAAGGAAGATTGGTCTTTTCAAGTGCAGCTTTTGTTTGCATTAGCAAGAAACAAATAATAAGAGAAAATTCTAGACTGGACTCAAAAGATTGGGGTTGAATTTCTTACTTTGCCTCAGTCTCCCTCTCTGATCTTTTTGCCTGTTGTATCCTGTGTTACAGGCTCCTACTCAGAAAACAAAAATCGTTCTTCCCTGCCTCATGAGAGTATGATCAGAAAAAAAGCAATTGTGGTGTTGTCAGTAGGGCTATATTCATAGGAAGAAATAAGACTGAGAGCATGAGGGAACAGCACCAATGGTTAATCAAGAGCCAAAACCCAAAATGAATCCTCCCTCATGCCAACCACCAATGATTAAAGTACTATGTTCTAAGACAAAACGGAAGAAAGGCAGGGCTAGGAAACAAGACCAACCAGAGACAAAACACTACCGTATTCTCTCTTAAATGAGTAAATATATTATCAGAGTTGATTAATAATTAGTTGCCAAACTAAAAAGGCAGATCCTCACTTACACACTACATGAAAAAAGGACATGCATATACATACACAAAATCTAAAGTGGGAAAGGCCAGAAAACATTAGATGAAAGAAACAAAGCAAGGCAGAACGAAAGAGGAAAACAGAGAGCAGTTGGAAAGTAAAGGATCAGACAATCACCATACAATTCCCACCACGTTTAATAGGATACTGGAAGAAACAACTGGCCTCTAGAAGAAAACAAGAAGGAATACAGGGAAAAAGTATCACTCTTTTCAGCTGTTGTCTTGTACTTATTTCATAAACTACTTGGTTTAAGAATAGTCTTTTTGTAAGTTATTTGTAGAGCACTTACTAAATTGCACCTTTAGAAGTCCAAGTCGATTAGTAAATCATGATTACCACTATTAAGAACAGGTAGTCAGTGACTCGTCTATCTTCCACTCCTCTTTAACATTTCAAATGGAGCCAAATACAACATTCTGGGCATGCAGTCCCAGACTTCCCAATAATTTGAGATTGATTTCCCAAAAGAATCAGGGGGAACACTAAAAAACCATTCTTTGCAAACCCATACCTTCTTCTGACCAAGGAATCCAAATGAAACACACTGAGTCTGAAGATTGTTGGCTAATCTCTGGCTATAACCAGAGCCCTAAATTTAAACCTTTTTCACATTAACTCTGGGACTGTTTAGTTTCAAGCATAAACTTTACAGTTAGCTACTGTTTCCATAAAGAGCCTGACCTGGAAATCCACATTCACTCATGAAGCTAGAGAAATAAGTCATACGAGAACACAAAAATGATATGGCTTAGGTGTACATCTAAATTTCTTTTAAATTTGATCCCTGTGCTTATAAAGCTACATGCAGATACTGAGTGACAGATAGAGAGTGAGGGAGGAAAAGCTGGAAAAAAACTAGAATGGAACAATATTAATACTTCTCCGGGGTGAAATGCTGGCTCCACTAAAGTAAAGGATAAAATCTCATTGACCTTACAGACACTGAACTGCAACTATATTTTTAACAGAGGAGATCAAAATTTTTCTGCCTGAATGTTATCCTGCATGAAAAGACTGATTTTGAAGAATTCCAGTGGTTGCCAGCCACCTGTCCTGGAGCTGAAAAGTTCAGACAACGTTTTCCTATTTAACATGCGTGACTTAATTCTCCTAAATCTGAGATTTTTAAGAATTTATTTGTCCCAAAGAAAATGAAGCATATCTGACATTGGCCTTTACAAGCAACAGTGTATTATTTAAAAGTACAATTTTACATGAAGCCTCCTCTCTGTTTTTCACTACTGCGAGCATAGTATTTCATAACATTTTCCCCAGATAAATTGTTCAGTAACTACAGGAGAGCCTTCAGTTTTGATTTTAACCAGCTGAATTAAACAGTTTGCACTGATTTGGGAGTGAACTTTTCTGCTCATTAATTTACATTAAAGGTAGAATTTCCAAAACCGCTTAAAAGACGTGCATCTGTAACTCCCACACTATTTTTAATGGGAGTCAGGCATGGAAATACTGCCAACAGTTTTGGAAAAAAAACCCAAAACTATAAATGGAAAGAAATTATAGTATGCAAAATGCAGGATCTCAGTACCTGTATGAGAGAGGCAGCAGCTGGAATCTGACGGTTGAAATGCTTCTGTCTTTGTTTCTGTTGTACCTTTAGGGCAAAGCCCGAACCAAGAATTCCCTATGGGAGGAAAGAAAACACAGATCTAATTTTTTTTTTGAAGTGGGAAAAACACACACACAAGCTTGCCAAATTATGTTGTATTAATAAACTTCTATTCAGCATCATAAAACCCAACTAATTATTTAGAGGAAATGACTTAATACTGTTAAGCTTTTAGACTCTGTTAGTATTACTTGTTGAAACAAACTATGAATGCTATCATGCCCTGATCCAAAGCCTATTTAAGTCAGCCGGACTCAAACACTAAAAAGCGAGTAGAAATGATATTTCATACCCTCTAAAAGCCTCATAAATGCTTGTGCAGGGGAACGACAGAATAGGGAGAAATATGAACCTGATGTGCTTAACTTCATTTTTATGAGAAATAAAGCTTTGGCATGGCACAACTCAGGTCACAAGAAAGACTCTAGTACAGTAACTTCTATTTCCATATGTTAACCCATGCTGGGAAAAGAGGACAAAGAGGAAAAGGAATATTACAAATTGGTCAGAACTTCAATGAGTTCAACACAAGGCCATCTAATCCACTCTCAGGACAAGGGACGTGGACTAATGGCACTGGATGGTGTACAACCCAAAATGGCCTCTGAATGTATTATAACTATTAAGTCCAAAAGTAAATATAACTAAGAGTCATTTATTTAGTCATTTGCATAGCTATAGATATATTTAACAGATTTTAGTAACGCAGATAAAAGTGAGATCTGCTATAGATCAGCTTACATGACTACAACTACTCAACGAAAGCATAATTCATTTTCTACATATGGTAGTTAAGGTGTCAGAGCAGCCAGTGATCTTGGCTCAACCTCTAAGAACTGTATTAATCATCAAGTGTTTTGAATGGAACAGGAAAGGCCCTTCCTATTATGTTCATTTAGTAAAGATCAAAGAGTTAATGATGCTCAAACATCACTTATTTAGGAAACGAAGGATCGCTGCTAGATCCAGAACCCACACCGGCTGTGTTTAGACACAACAATTACTTTTGACTGTGATCTCAGCCACCATTATTTGAAACAGCAACAAGGCAGCGTGCAATAGTTACTATCCAGCAACGATTTACTGCCAGAGCTTCAAACCCTGGATTTCCCCCTTGGGCCATCTCACACGAACAACTTAATTCAGTAATAAAATCACACTGATAAAGGGCTGTTTGTTGTTTTACTTCTACAGACGATTACGAAAATCTGACAGGTAAACATAAAAGCATTGCTGTGAAGGTGGGTCTGCTACACAATTAATTCATAAAACATCTTTGCTGGCATTCAAGTCTGAGGAAAAACCAAAAACCTCTTCAGTCAAAATAGTACTTTTTGGCATTTTTCTTACAGATCATTTCATTTATCAGATCTCTCTTCTAAACAAGGAATAAATTTGAAAGATATTAGAACGAAGAGAGGGGAAAGAATATGCTTTAAAGGCAAACTAATGCTGGAGAATCTAAAAATCTACACTTACCCTCCTCTGCAAAAGGTTGTATAACTTTAAGTATGTGACAAACTTAAAAAAGCCACTGGAGTTTTAATAGTTACTATTTTATGTTGTTACAAATTTTTGTGACAGTATTGGCATAAAAGTATTCTTCTCAACCATCTTGTACTTATCCCCACCTCTTCCCTGCTGCTAACATCTGCTAACACAACTGTTTGTGTCACTGAGCTGAAAAACTTGCTGAAAAACAAACATTTTAACAGCATAGTTCAGAAGTATTGCTACATTTCTGAAAAAAATACCCGTAACTACCTTTGGCACTGAACATTTCGGGTTTTCAAACCACAGTCCAGGTTTCGCTGATTTTGAACTTACCCTTGGTACTCAAGCACCTTGTTTCTTATTAGAGAGTACTTGGGAGCCTGTTTTCAGTGTAAATCAAGTGCCAGAACACCTTTAAAAGCTCAGCCCTGGGTCACTTTTGAAAATGGGACTTTGGCCATGGACAGATGCTAATTTGGCAAAGAGCTGCATCAGTGTCCCTGCCTGCTTATTGTTGTCTTTCTGCCAGTGACACCTTTTTGGCAGCTTTGCTAGAAGAAGGATGTGTATGAAAACTCTACAGTACACCGTGGACCTAATCTGTTGAGTAAACTATGAGTGAAGGCCTTAAAAAGCCAAAACATCACTAAGTCACCGAGTCCAGGAGTAATTAGCATGAGAAATAATTTCCTTTACACTTCTGAGATAGGCAGAAAAAGAATTTTGAATTAAACATCTCTTTCTCAAATACATACCAAATCTAGTGTTGCATACAATAAACACTGCATATTTATTTTTTGTGCTACTTATAAAAGCTCTTTTGCTTCTACAAGCCACGTATATTTTGACTACAATATAAACGTTTAATACAAAGCTTTCATAGTATCAAGTTAAATGAAAGGTTGAAGAATCAATAACAAAAGTTCCCTCTGATGATTAATGAGTGAACAACAAATTGCCAGCAGAAGCACAAGATAACCTACCGCAGGTAGTGCAAAAAATGAAATTGCGAATACTGAAAAACAAGATGCAATGGTCTTTCCTATCCAGGTCTGAGGCACTTTGTCCCCATAGCCAATAGTTGTAACGGTCACCTGTAAAGAGAAATACATAGAGCATTACAGCAAGCGTTAATGTGGCAGTTTGGGGTGGTTGTTTTTTCTTTTTTATTTATTTTAAAGAAACATCAGTTGCATTCCTAACTCTCCCAATGACAGTCTGTGTGACATTAATGAAGGTAACTCTCCTCTCCAGGTTTGCTTCCCCATCTATAATAGATGGAAAAAGGTATGGGAAATTGAATTACAATAAAATAGATGTTTAAAATCTTATAAAGTAAAACCATTAATTTAAGCCTTCATGGCTAGGCAAGTTTACAGCATATGAGGTTACTGGGATATGGGTTGCCTGCCCACGTCATACACTTTCCTTAGGGGGAGGCTGCCAAAAGTTCCAAATTGCTGATTTTCTTTATGGGCAGATGTTTGCTGCAAGAATTACAGGGCTGTTGCATAGCAAGAGCATATATATACTGTAACCAGGGACTACGACTGGGGTCAGACATGAAGTATTCTAGAGAATAATATTGGTATAAATAGCAAGAGAAGCTGAAAAATTTCCATGTAGTAAAGATCTTGAAAACATAGCCTAACAAATCAGTAACTCATATAATACATTGAGAGCAAGAACAGATAATTTAATGCACGCATTCAGGAAACATCTGTTGAGTCTGGGTTTCAAAACACTGAAGTAAAGATTACCACCACAGTGATGTAGCATAACAAGGCTTAATAAGTAATTATTTGCATGAGCTCAAGGAAAGAATGGATTTGTTTGAAGCAGAAGGATACGCTTGGCATCTGAGAGCAATTTAAATTCACCTATGTCATAAGCTATTTCTCAATTTGGAAATTAGAGAGATTTTTATCTGTGACTTTGAAGAAAACAAACCAAATCAGAGCACGGGAAACCACATGAAGCTCCCAAGCAGTTGAAGCATGCCTCAGTTGCTGGCTATTCACATTTTCTTCTGACAGTGTGGGCTTCAGCTGCCCAGGACACAGAGGACATCCACAGGCCATCCCCATCTTGTCCTGCAGTTGCTCCTAGCCCACCTCTCCGCTGCAATGCATATGACCCAGTGACTGCAGAAATGCAGGCAATGACCAGGGCACCATCTCCAGGGGAGGAAAGAAGGGACGGGCAGATTTATAGAGGCAAGATGTTTGTTAAGGGGGTGAAGGGATGGAGAACCTGGGTTTGGGGAAATAAAAGGCCTTGACAAGTGCTTCAGGAAAAGTGTGGCTGTCAGCCACTTTAATAATTGTCCATTCCTACTAAAAAAAGAGACACCAGAGGGAAATCCTGTGGGTGTAAGTTCTGACCTGAGCTGTACCTCAGAAACACACGAAGCCAGCCATCCACGCTCAAACTGCCCACCTTCTAAGCAACATCATACGTGTCTGTCAAACACATGACAAAGGCACAGCTCTAGGTGCTTGAGACGGCTATGTTAAAAGTTTATTGTTAGTTGCTGATATGCAAAACATTCAAGTATAGCATTTAATTTTAATACAAGTTTTTTAAATGTGGCTATTTCCAAAACTGTATCATATCCTACAAAAGTATTTTAAGAATTATTAAGGTAAGTTAAATACCCAAGTAATTTTGCCTGTATTCCTGAAATTGTTGAAATACCACCTTAATTCAGGGCCTGGTGAGGAACTGAAGGGATGACATTATCTTCTCACCTACGTAAGAGGGCCAGTTTAAAAAAAAAAAAAAATCCTAAACTCTTATTACAATTTCCTGTTCAAAAAATACGGTATAAAAAGGGAAATACAGTTATGGGAAAAGTAATGGCCTCCAATACCTTCTTACATGAAAGATTATGAGAGAAGATAGTGGTTTATGCCTCAGTTTCTGAAAAGAGTTACAAAGCCTTGTCATCAAAAAGTCTATCAACTATTCTGTGTTACAACCTTAACATCATGTTGAAATACTCACATTAACTAGAAATGTGAAAAGAAACAGATACTTCTGAGCTAAATGAAGTATAACTGAAGAAAAATTCATATACAACTAAAAAGTATTTATGTCCCCTTTCCCACCTCACCCCCACCCCACCTCCATCCCTTCTGAATTGGTCTATATGAAGCATCAGTGACACAAGAAAAGTATTTTCGGTGCTCTTTGTTTAGGATTTTTAAAAAAAACAAAACAAAACATTTTCGAAATTGAGTTGCAAATCAAAGCGTGTGTTTAAGTTAATGTTTTTCTCTGCCCTGCCCCCGTAATTACAATCCATCTACAAATGCATTGTATTCCAAAATTACATTTTCTTTTTTCCCCAAGATATAAGCTGTTGAAACCTTACATGCCAAGTTTCTGCCCTAAATGAATTTTTACAGCCAGATTATAACCCCCTAAAGAGTACAATACTAATTTTACAGTTGTAAAAAAGGATCTTATAATGGAAATACTGACTCAAATTCTACTCTAGCATAGTAAATATGTTGGCATAATGAAATTAAATTGATACAAGAGCTCACACATTAAATTTTCTTTGAAAAGCAGCATGTAAAACTAATTGTTTTAATTAGGAACAAAATCATATTCATCCATTGACTATTTCAGAACTTTGATCTGATGTATATCACCACAGGCTTTGGTATTAAGACTAATCTTGTTCCTATTAAATATGCATCCATAGTCTGAAGGAAGAAATATAAAGCAAAAATCCACACAGCAAGAGGAAATAGTAATGTTCATCAGCACCGAATAGGGAAGGGATTTTATTCAAGGCTATCAGGCTAGAGTGAGCACAGCAAACTAATCAGGTGAGTAACAATGCTCTGCTGATTAAATCCTTGCTGCGTGCCTTGCAAAAATTTGGATAGTTAACCAGCTACAAAATACCAGGTGGCATGATTCAGAGGTATTAAAAAGGCAGACATCACAGGACTGAGGGAGGAAACACAAGCTAAAAGATAAAAAAGACAATCATTAAAGCAAATAAGGGCAAGTCACCTTATAGAAAATACCTTAACTGCTTTGTTTCTAAATTTGCAGCACTGCAACTTCAAAATCAATTGCATAAGGTATTGTTTTGCATACCAAATACCACGCAGAATTTTCTGACCCACTCGCAATACCCATCTTGACTATATCAAGTAATACAAGAACAACATCCAGCAATGTATCAGAAACATCGACTGGCTCCCTGACTTCTTTGCAATTAAGTATAGCAAATTGCAAAATGGTTTGAATGCTCTCCTGTACGCCTAAGTGTAATGAACACATTAGAAGCCCTTCTACTGCTTGACATCTTATTCAGTCTACTGTATTCATGCAAGCTGCATATAAAGTAGAATCTTTCCAAGTTGCTGAAATCCATGTAGCACAAGCGCAAACAGATTAGACACTCACACTTTTATTTTACTGTGAAGTACGCAACCTGTGTAAACCTAAAAAAAAACCCCTAGTGATCTTTCGATATTTTGAATTCTTTTCCAAATGACAATATTATTCTTCCTTGTGCGTATGAGGATGTTAACAATAAGAACCAATGCACACAACAGTCATCCCACTTTCTGCTCGCAATCACCTCTATGAACAAACACTGCAGCACTCTAAGAAGATTCAGGTTACATCCTTCAGATGAACAAGTTAAGAGACTATGTTCTGCAGGACACAAAAGTTTTAAAAACTTGGAATTAAAATTGTAATCCAAAACTGAAGAAAAGACTTCCTGGTCACTACTATTATAAACATTTTAAAGGGATGTTTGGATTATTTTTCCTCTTAAAATTTCGAAGTAGTTTTCATACAGTTATCATTGCAGGCTCACATCATCATTCTTGATGCAGCTGAAGTACACAACTGACACACCACCACATCTGAAGGTCACTGAAACACTTCTAATAAGATGTGAAATGAAATGGAACTACACATCCAACTGCAAGCATAACAAACAGAATATATTAACTTCAGTGCCATGTCTCTCAAGCAACAGATCCTCAGTGCTGCCTAGCCATTGCTCTCGGATCTTAGTTTAATACCTCCTCGAGGTGACACTTTCAGCCATCAATCAGTTCTGACCAAATTACTGCCCACTCTAAACCTCTTAATCAAATGGTGGCCCAAACTAAAAATCTCCACTTGTGAGATCTCAGAGATAAAACCAGAAGAGTTAAAAAAAACAACTCATGAAAATTAAGTTGGAGCAATTTGCCAAGTCTGTTCTGTGCAATGAAAAAAGGGACTACAGCAGCTTTAACCAAGACAGTACAAATACAAGGGTCAACGGGATGTTCTGGTTACTATTCCTAGTTTCTGGCTAGTTCAAGTCAGTCACATCATGTCATCTCATTCATGATCTCTTGAAAATGCAACTCCATCAGAAAATGAACTGGCTTTCCCCTCACTATTCCTGTTGGGATGTTATTCCAGAACTTCATGCTTTTCATGGTACCAGATATTCTTGTAGGCTCCTGCCTTAATTTCTGAAAGACAGGTTTCCAGTCTTGTCTTTCTGTTCCACCATTTCACAGTCTCAAGTTTATCCCCCTCCCCTCTTCTGTTGCCTCACTCCTGCATTACCCACACCTGCAACACAGCATGCTCCAAAGGCTGCTGAATCCCATTCTCAGTGGGTTTAGCCTCGCAAATAAAAGCGGGTTTCACTTGCTCTTGTAAAATAGTCTATTCATCCCCTGGATCATCCTGGCAGTAGTTTAAGGATGACAAGATACAGGACATAAACTTGCATAAAAATAGGGAGAATTGTTCATTATTAGTGAAGGTATAGGCAAAGTGTTGGGATTCATCTGAGCTTCCCCCCCACCCCCGCCAAGCACCCCTACCAAAATACAAAGGTAACTAAATCAGGAAAAAATAGTCCATCAAGAAGACTTTAAACCTCCCAGGAAGATCGTTATTTGATCATCATTATGATCATTTTTACTTGGAGTGAACAGGCAATTTTAGATCTGAACTCAGCAGTAAATGTATACATGGAGACAAGCAATAAAACTGATAGTTAATGCATCGTCAGTTGTTTAGATTTTACAGTACGGCGATACCCACTTTCTTT